CCTGTGAGGTGCCCTCAGCTCTGGAATTTATTCCTCCCTTTGCTCAAAAACAGCCTGCAACAATCTTTGACCTTCTGGGTAAGCTGTGAGCCCCAAATCCAAGGATTTGTTTTGGGAGAGGCATAAGAAAGGTTGGCATTTGTGGGTGTGGTAGGAAGTCATGTCAATAGCTGATTTAGTCCTTGGTTTATAATTTTGTTGTGTTGTGGCAGTTACCCTGTACGGCAGTGTAAACTTAACCCGTGGAGACTTAGGCTTTCCTAAATGGTCATAAATTGGGGGGGGCAGAATGCATTGAAACCAACCAGTATATGAATGATTGTGTGTTTGTGAACAAAATGACCTGGCAAACAAGTACGTTATAAGTCACTTTTGCTAAAATGACCCTTCTAGCCTTGCAAATCACCACAAGTTCTGCCTGAGTCTCTGGGTCGCTAACAGCATACGCAAGTGAAACAGTGTTGTTGGGACTGCTGATAAGGGAACAAGTAACACTTTAACTGTTGCCCTGTTTAATATGTTTATATGCACATAATTAATATGTTGCCCTGCCTATGTTGCAACTGAAAGGTGAGCTGTAAACACCTATTAAAGCAGCATTATTATGTCTTACTACCAAAGTTCTCTTGTCTATCACAATTAAAATTAATATTTTAATCTGAGATTCTTTAAAAGCTATCTCCACTGCTCTTACTCTTTGGATGTAAACAGATTTGTTAAATATTTTATTTCTAACCCACCCACAAAGTTATATTCATTTACATAACTTAATGAAGGCTGCATTATTCATTGAACTTCTCATATAACATTTTTCGTAAGGCATTATTAAACAAGTGAAGCAAGCCAGTCTAGTAATGAGTCTTCTCTAAACTTGCTGCCAGTTATGTTTCCTTTCTCCTAATCTATCACTCTAATGGTTGCAACTAATAAACTTTTCAAATCTTTGCTGCTAATCTGTATATGTTTTGAATTGCATGCTGAATGTATAACTTGACAGAGAATTTACAATACAAACCACCTGGCAAACAAAACTATCTGGATTAACAAATGCTATCCAAACCTACCAGCTCTTTAATTTCAAAAACATTGCCAAAAGTCAATAGATTGAAGTTTGGTTTACATGAATGTTCAGCAGAGACACAGCCTTGCATAGGATCCTGCTAGACTGTTCTAGGAAAGGTGGTATGTAATAATTTTAAGGTAAAGAAATTCTGCAATGGGTTGCTTGCACTTGAGCTACTTAATCTGTATTTGGGACTAAGTCAAAAGTTGCTGGATTTTCAGGGCCCTAAGAAGTGCAGCTCCCTTTGAGACAGATAACAAATTTTGATAATTTATACCTCATAAAAATAAATTCTGATGCTTAATAAAAAAGAGAGACAGATGGATCTAGGGGTCTAATTTTATGCACATTAGTTTTAAATGACTGGGGTGTATTCTTTTATCAGCATCCACCCTGAACACCTCTGCTGATGTGCAGAATTATCAAAACACAGCAGTATTCTGTTCTCAAAGATGACTAGATGCAGATTTGTAAAAACAGTTTTAAAAACTCCCTATAGCACGTAGGAAAGTACCACTTGAAAGTTAAGGATGGAATATTTTACATATTATTAAGTATTTTTCTTGGTATCTCTCCAAAGGTTATTCCAAGTCACTGACCAGAATAAAATAAGAAAACATACGATAGATTGAAACGGGGTAGAAGGAAGGACAATCTTTTTGGCAGCCTCTCTTCTTGCAAGGTCCAGGAAAAGACTCCTGTAGTAAAGATAAAAAAAAAAAAAAAAAAAAAAATTTGGAAAACTAAGTGCAAAATCTTAAGCATACAAGGCTTCAAATTATACTGTTCCTTCAACAGGTGCTTTTATGAACCAAAAGAAAAAAATCCTTTCCTAGCTCAGCTGCTGAAAGCAACATGAAAGTAACATATCCTCATTTCACTAGGCCAAAACAAATAAATCAATAAAATTATTTTTAATCAATCAATTTTTTTTTTAATTTCCAGTGACTCTTCAGCATTCATTTACACATTTTTTCTTACTCATATAACCATTACCAAAATTCACTATTACCTGTTCTGACCTTATCTGGAAGTACTATTGCCTTTCAATCAGGAACTGATTTATCAAGTAGCATTCCTCAATGTCAATTTACACCAATGTAATTCTTTAATGTCATTTTAATTCAAGAATGGATCTAACTGTGTGTTGTTAAGAACCACACATTTAGCATCACATAGATACTTCAGAAATCCTAAGCACCAGAGATTCTGCTGGCTGGCAGGAGCTATTATTCACATGGGTGGGTTCCAGTAACCCACCTTACCCTCAGAGAAGAACCAGCATGCTACGTATAAATCAATGCTTTTTACTCCAGGACCAAAGCATAGCACCTACTGAATTGTGTGCATGTTTTGGAGAGAGACCTAGTCAAAGATTTTTCTTTTAAATGACAGGTTAACTGAGGGGTGGAATATGAAATACCCCAAAGAGGCCAAATTACAAGAAGGGAGTGAGCACCCCTCACCAAATCTGGCCCTTTAATGTGTTTCAGCTCGTAAGCCTTGGAGCACCAGTCACTTAGAGTAAGACATGGTAGCACTTGCAAAAGGAAGGCTAAAGCATGGCTATAGGAGCTACCTGTTAGCAGCAGAGCAGGCTGAAGTGGCTGCTTCCTCTTCCTGCCTCCTCCATCTCTGCTGCAGCACCCCGGCACAAACAACCCTCACACAGGGAGCTGGAGAGAGGACCTGGTCTGTCTGAAATACAGTTATGTTTTTTGGTAGATAGTTTTTCGGCAAGGTCAGTTCCTGGATCCAGTGTAACAAGAGAGGCAGAGGCTGGGGGGGCAGGAGCCGGTCAGCCCCCCGATAGCCGCCACAGGCTCAGCATGTGCCCATGCCAGCCGCTGCTGAGCAGGCAAAGCTCTGTCGTCACGCCAGAGCTCACCTGAAACTGGTCTGCAGCCAGCATCTAAGCTGTCAAGATACAGCTGCATAGAGGAGATTAGCAGGGGTTGTAAAACCTGCTCAAGAAGTTGGGCAAATATTTTAGCAATTAACCCACACTGAGCAGCATATTACTGCAGCTACACTGCTAGCATTTCTTGGGATACCTTGTTTAAAGCTAGCTCCTAGATGCCTAAATTACACAGCAGTGACAGACCGTTTAACTACAGAGATAAATTATACAGGGGCAGTGCCTAACATAGGTTATGTTGTCATGATTTACAACAGCTGAGGATGTGCCCCCAGATGTCCAGACAAAATCAAATTAAGTATATGATTTTTTTTTTCTCCAAACATAAAAGCCTTGCAAACTTGACTCAAAAATAAAAAAGGAAACAGAGAAATGCACATATGACCTTAG